ATTAAAATTACTTTTAAAATCATCCCTACCTAAAATCCTCCCTAGGTCAGGCCCGCTTGCTGGAAAAGCCATGTCTTGAGGGCGCGGCGGAAAGTAAGGAGATCCGGAATCATCCGGATCTCGGGGGGTAGTTCGTTCCAGAGGGTGGGGGCACCCACAGAGAAGGCCCTCCCCCTGGGGGTCGCCAGCCTACATTGCTGTGCCTTACTGTGCCTGCTCATGAATCAAAAGCAAGGTGCTAATCAATTTTAATAATCAGAATCTAAATATTGATCACTTGTGTGTATTCAATAGGGTGTCCTTGTATTCTTATGAATTAAAACAAAGTAGACACTGGAACAAAACAACATTTTTATTAAAAACAGTAATAGATAAAATCACAACCAAAATATCTCTGAAGTAAGGAAGATATTAAAAGAGAATGAGCTGCAGTGAGCTAAAGCTGTCAGGCAGTGTCTATTCAGAGTTAACATGTGCATAAGAAGGATCTTCAATGGTAGGATTAAGTCAGTTTTTTTCAGACTGTGTTAAGGCATCGTCTGAAGTAAAAAGAAATGGAATACTGGATTTTGGTGCTTTTAAGCAGCAGAACCATCTGTCTACCAAGAAGGATATCAAGGTTTTCTATGACAAATAGAAAAGTAGAAATGCCCAAGCTATTTCCAGAAAAGAAGAACACTAAATATTTAATTGGGGTATTTACCAATAGAACAGTGACTGAAACATATATAATGTTATCAATTATAAAGCTGTAAATAGCAATCCTGTCTGCATTGGGATACAAGGAATTTTTGGTTTTGTGCACCCAAAGATTTAGGCACTAAGATACTCACTTTTCCTTAACAACAACAACAACAAAAGCTAGCACACAACTCTTGCAGACAAATATTCTTTTCTATAAGTGGTGGACATTTAGCAATTGAACATTTAGTAAGTAGAAACAAAAACTAAGAACATAAGTAAAAGGACAAAAGGACATGACACAGCAATGTCTCCCTGTTCATGGGAGGTGGCCTGGCAAGTATTTCCATCACACTTTTGTTTTGGTAGAAACTATCTGCTTCTGTAGATAATGCAATCTACTTGCTTGCCATTTCATCCACCCAACCAATGCCAATAAGCAAATCACCAGTGCTACTTGAAAGATTAAAATCATCACAATAGGGTGTAGAGCAATATTTAGTACTCCA